TGCCCGTTTGCAAAACTGTAAACTCCAAATCCGTGCATCTTGTCTGCAAAATACTCTCCAGCATATGTGTCCCCATTCCTGTAACCAATTTCACCAGGGGTTTTACAACCTTTTGCAAATGGTAAACTGATCATTTCAATTCAGATGTCATGAACACAAACACAAGATCAAGAGATTACATAATCAGATTGTTACCTGAAACGGTAGTGGCCAAGACCATGTTTAACACCCCACTTGAATTCTCCAACATACCGACTGCCATCTTCGCAAGTATGGACCCCACATCCATGGCTCTGCCCATTTGACCATTCGCCGGCATATACGTCACCGGTATAGAATCTATACACACCAAATCCATGTCTCAACCCTTGCCGATACTGCCCACGATACCGGCTTCCCCTTGCCCATGTTTCCACCCCATAACCATCATACTTCCCATCGACCCAATCCCCTTCATATCTCCCACTCATGTAATAGTAGTAAACCCCACAACCAGAACACTTACCTTTGTGAAATTCACCCTCATACACGTCCCCATTGTTGTATGCCTGCACCCAACACCCTGAATTCCACTTGTGATCGCTTTTTGGTCGGGAACCAATTGACCAGAACACCGGCAATGGCGGTCTGGAGACCTTGTCTGACAATGACAGCTTGATTGGGAAAGATCTGGCAAGAAACAATCGGATTGAAGGGAGGCGAGGGAGGGCAAGATTGAGGGAGAATAATAAGGCAGCTGAGAAGGCAAACGCCGAAAGGAAATCGAGGAAGAATGAATGACTAGGGTGGGATACTAAGAAGTAGAAAAACGGGAGAGATAGTAAGAGGATTAACCTAAGGTGAGTCCGAAGGCGGCGGAGGTGGCGGAGACGGTTGAGGAGGTGGATGGCGGTGGTCTTCGTGTTCCAAAACCGCTTAGAGTAAGGATTCTTCGACGAAAACGAGTAGTCCTGAAGAGAATTCGACAGAGTAGGTGATTTCGTGAGGGAATTCGTTTGGGAGAAAACAGGTCGTTTATGAGGCGTTGATCGAGGCGTCGGCACAGCAACTGAATCAAAATTACCATCATCGATCACAATCTGATGCTCATGATCAGGGCTACTACTTGTCGTCGTAACATCATTGCTGTAATCATGGTTACCATCAGGCGACTGAATCGACAACAAAGAAATCGGTGAACACAGCGACGGCGATGAATGTAGCTTGAAAATGGAGAGCTTATGAGGCCATTGATTGGGAATGGTGGGAGTAGGATTGAAATCGGAAGAGACACCACTGCTATCTTTCCCGATCTGAACCTCGGATTTCTTGTGATGCATCACATTCAGACAGACATGGATTAGGGTTAGGGTTTGATTGATTTGCTGGTATGAAATATTGTTGAATTGGACGGAAATTTGAACACAGAAATTATGGGGTTGAGTTTTTCTCTCTGGAGATGAGAAGCAGAGCGGAGTCTTCGTTGAGTTTATGGCCATGCCTTTTGAATTTTTTTTCTTTCTATTTATAGAAACCAAACCTCCCATTAAAACAAAATTTAAACATTTCTTTCATAAAATAATTATAAATATTTCTATTTTTTATTCTATCTCAAAATAGATGTTATCTTTTAATTTAATTTTTAATTATAAAATGAATAAATTGTTTACTATTTTTATTTATAGTAATATTCTCATTTTTCAATGTTTGTTTTCTAAAAGTTGTGTTTGATTTTATTGGATGAAATACGTACATTGTGTTTCATTTCATGAGGTGAAATAATACATAGACGGAAATTGTGTTTGATTTCATGGGGTGAAATAACGTATGTGTAAAATTTATGTTAGATTCATGAGGTGAAATAACATATAGATTAAAATTTTGTTTTTTATTTCATGAGGTGAAATCGCATTACGTTCTTAAATAAGAATAAAAGCTAATGTGGGATACGTTCTCAAATAAGTGTTTCATCTCGTTCTGTTTTCAATGTATTCCCGATGTGGGATACACGATAATCGAGGAGAGTCACGCTTGTTGTTGAGGATTCTTCATCAGTGGGTCACTTAGTGAGGAGTGAGGCACGCTTGCTAAAAAATTTCATCCCGCATCGGTGGGCTTTGCAAGAGAGGGCTTTGTAAATAATTAGTCGTATGTATGTATGTATGTATGTATGTATGTATGTATGTATTGTTTCTAATTTGGTAATTGTACTTTAACAATCATTACCAAAATTAATATGAATAGAATTATTATTTTCATTGTTGGTAGATTTATAATTATTTTTGAAGTCTAATAATTAAAAAATAATTAAAAAGTAATTAAAAATGTTAAAATAAAGGAAAATGTTACATTGACCCTTTTTCTCTTATAGTTAGAGATGGAAATGGGACGGGTAATGAGCGAGGAATGTAATCCTCGACCCTGACCCCATTTTATGTTTCCCGTCTCCGGACCGTCTAATCCACAATAGGTTCAAGGGTAAAAAAACCTTGATGGGTATGGAGATCCCGTTGGGTGCCTCTTTAAAAACAATTACGTATCTTGAAATGAAAAGAAAAAAACAGAGTTTTTAATTTTTAAACAGACAAATAAACCTCGAGTTTTAAAAACACATAATGGTTGAACAAACCACATGTAATCATAGTTCATGACAAATTTAAAAGTATACAATTATAAGCAACAAAGAATAAACTAATCAAATTATATACTAAAATATATATCGAGTATCATTAAGGGCGGTCAATACCATCTCCGAACTTGCTTCGGATATGAAAAGCGATCAGTGATGGAAATTTTACTTCTCGGGTCAGGGGTGCTGATGAGTATCGTTTTTCATACTCAAAGCAGGTTTAGGGTCAAGGTCAGGAATATACAACTCCCCATGATATATATATATATATATATATATATATATATATAGGGGAATGATCAAATGAAAACCACTCAATTTGTAAAAACCGTAAAAACCTCATTCAACTAATCATAATCTTTTATTTTGTTCATTTTTTTTGTAATTATGAGATGTTGATTAATCATTTTTATTGTGGAGGGTGTTAATCATGGATATTATCATCTTCATTATTTTAATTTTAGAGAAATACATAAAAGAATTTCATTAAAATTTCATTAAGTAGTATATTAAACAATTTCATAACCATATATGAAACAAATTCATCAAAAAAAAGTATTATATGAAACAATTTCATAAGATTAAACAATTTCATGAAAAAAATTTCATAAAATTAAACAGTGAAATCGACGGATGATGGTGGTTTGCACGATTTTTACAAATTGGAGTGGTTTTCATTTGATCGCTCCCCTATATATATATATATATATATATATATGTGGTATATTTCAAATGCAACCATGTTTATTTGTACAATGCAACCCAAACAATTGAAATATTATGAAAATTATGAGAGTTTATTTATTATGATATGAATATTTATGGAAGATGAATAAAGTTCATTAATTATGATCAATACTTTATATTAGTAAACAACCAAAACTTCTATGAAATCACATATTTATCAAATTAAATGAATGGTTGAGATTGAGTTGTATTAGTTGTACAAATGTAAAAGGTTGTATAATAACCAACCCCCCCCCCTCTCTCTCTCTCTCTCTCTCTATATATATATATAATATGATTAGTTTCATTTTTTGTTGCTTGGTAAATTTATACTTTTAAATTTGTCATTAACTATGATTACATGTGATTGGTTATGTCATTATGTGTTTTTAGACTTCAAGTTCATTTATCTGTTTAAAAAAAATTAAAAACTCATTTTTTTTCCTTTTCATTTTAAGATATATAATTATTATTTTCTCTTAAACGGGTAACCAACGGTTCTCAATACCTATCAAGAATCCCCCTGAACCCGTAATAGATTAGGCGAGGCAGGATCGGGGAACAAAAAACGGAATCACGGTCGGGGGGGTGCATCCCGCCCCTATTTCCATCTCTAAAGGCAATATCCGTTCCGTTATCCGATAAGCCAACTAACGGGACAGGTATCTAACCTGACAGATAAAATCTCTATCAAACTATTCATAGTTAATGGACAAATGAGATGACCGTTATTATAAGTAACCAAATCCAAAATAAATGACATAAATAGAGAATTTATTATATAATAAATGACTAAAAACCATACTTCACTCTTAAAAGTAAAATAAGAAAAAGGCATGTTAAAGTCTAGTAAAAGTAGATTTGGGCGGTTCTACTTCTACTTTTGCTATTTGGAATATTTACATCCAAATTATGTATGTTTTTGTTTTTTTGCAATCAGTCTGTTATCTCCAGAGTAACTTTTATCTGTTAAACAATCAAAGAAGAATTCGAACCAATACTTTATTTCTGTGGTTACCCTTTTTTTCCCTTTCTTGACTTTATTTTAAATACTGAACTTTCTTGTAACCTTAAAGTATACTTGCGTGTTTTATATTATCAGTTATATTTAACCAGTTATTTTCTTCTTGACAAATATTGTATAAAAAGTATTAAGAAAAAACGTGAGTTAAGAATTTAAGGGTTAAATAATGTGAACATTTCTATGATTAAACACATACAAAAAGATCGAGTACCAAATGTGGACTCGGCATCAGACTAGTTAAGGATAAGTCCATTCCATGGGCTCGGTTAGTCGTACTTTAATTTCGAGGCCAAGGACCAGTTCAATCAATCAGGCTCTAATTGATTTTTTTTAAATCAATGACCGGTCAATGATTAGTCAAGAACCGATTTTTGAAGAACCAAATATGGAAACTTGCTTCAATGAAACAACAATGGGTGGGATTGTGGGGCCCATATCGGTTTTCACTTTTAAGCTAAATCAGTCCTTGATCAAGACTAGGTTTTTTTGGTTGATCTGATTGAACTTAAGAGGACTAGATGTCTAGACTAATAATTTCCACTTTTACCCATGATTGTACATATGGTATAAATAAGTAGGGCTCTATACGAACCAAACGAACATGGATAGAGGGTTGTTCGTGTTTGTTCATTTTACTTAACCGAACAAATGAACGAACACGAAAGATAAACAGTTGAAAAGGAATTCTAAAAAATTAATTTAATTTAATTAATGATTTTACATATTAAGGTCATAATATATAAATATACTTATATATAACTATATATGACAAATGTAAATGCACAAATGAGATCATTGTTCATGTTCGTTCATTTAACTAAATGAATAAAAAAAATGTGTTCATTCTCATCATTTATTAAATAAACGAACTTTTCACTGAACGGTTCATGAGCAGTTCGGTAGACGTTCGGTTAAAATAATGACACATAATAAGTTAAATTAATTCAAAAAATTAGCACTTTTTATGATTTTGACAAATTTACCCTTAAGGAAAGGAGTAGGATGGGGCACCAAAAGAGGGTAATGATGTCAACATTTTGATCCTACATGAACCCATCAAGGAAAAAAGCACACCTTCACATGAAACCTCATCAAAAGTCACTTTGAAAGCATTTCAAACAAAATCTCAAACTCCAAAAGTAAAGAATCAATTGCAACACTTTGCAAGCAACTCCTTTTAATCCATTTTGATTTAAATTGGTTCCATTTTTTTATGTTAATTAAAATCCAATTCTGGGTGTTTTATTATATCTGATTCAACATTAAACATCTGTACAATAAATCACATTTGAGGGGTTCTTTAACGACATCAGTTATTGTAACAGGTTTTACTTTTGGAATGCTGATAGAATGTATTAGCTATTTTTCGGTTGGTTGTAGATTTGTAATGTGCTTCTATCGAATCTTGCTAAAGCAGTTTAACAGATATAAAGATTTTAACTGAAAAAAACAAACTAGCCAGTCTTTCAAAATCTTGCTCGAGGAAAAAAACCGAGAGAGCAGCTCTCGCTTCTGTCTTGACACTCTTTAAAATCCAATTTCTAACACGTAAAGTATGAGTAAATATATCACGACTTATATTCGTTTTGGCCTAACATTCGTAAATAGTGTTACTCTCTCCATGGAAAATACGTGATTTTGAAAGCCTATTAAAATTTATTTAAGAAATATGGTTATAATTTGCAATATTTCTTTGTTTTATTATTATATTTGATATATTATTACTATTAATTAACTTAGGTGCCGTTTACCAAATGCTTACTCGAGTAAGCACTTACCATGTCACTTTACTTACCCGATGAATATTATAAGGACTAAGAATCTTACCCGGTAAGAGCGAATACAAGAATCAAGAGTCTTACCCAGTAAGTGAGGATGACGACTCTTACCATGGATAGTGCTTACCGGGATAAATTGTTGCATATAATGCGTTTTAGTGAATAAAATCGTACTTAATAAGT